TTTTTCCATCTGTATTATTTCATTGCTACCAGCACTAGACAACCTCTCCTTCCTTTCATGTCTCCCATGTTTTTCCCATCAGTCCTTTCAGTTTGCTCCTGATTGCCTATTTTAAAGATAACATCTGGTCATCTACTGTTACTTGACCTTTTCTGTGGCATTTTTTCCTCCCCCTTTCTCATCAACGCAGAGCTCATCAAGTTTAATTTTACCTTACATCAGTCCATATTTTCTCCTTTTAAGTAATTTTCTGTTAATTTGTTCTTCCTTGCAGGTTCACACGTTCAGAGGTCCTCACTGGTGTGAATATTGTGCCAACTTCATGTGGGGTTTGATCGCTCAGGGTGTGAAATGTGCAGGTAAATATATCTACAAAATATTTTATTTATTGTTAATCATTGCTGGAAAATGGAATCCAATTCTAACCCTATTATTGGATGCTTGACCCCAGCCCCTTTTAATCCAGCTGAACTAAGGTGGTTTGCATTTGACTCATCTGCTTTTATATAACAGGTTTTCTGAACACTGTCCGGTTTAAAGAACAGCCTGTCTCTGTGTGGGTCCCTCTCCTACTCCCACACTTCAGTCCTGCTGTTATTATGTGAGATATCAGAAAGGCTTCTGACTCATGGTGGAAAGAGGCTGAAACTTTACAGGAGGGAAGAGTTTGAACCACAAGACAAGTGTAGGAAGAGTGGAGAGATGGGAGTGATTACTGTGGGCCATCTATCTACTGATCATGCATCTATCCATCCAGAGATTTTTTTAAAGATTTGTAGAAACTTCTGCCATAGATTCACAGTCAGTCATTTATTTTTACATTGAAATCTAACTAAAGAAGAGGAGGTTGACATAATTTGTTTAACCTTTGTCATAAAAAGAGCCCGTCACATTCAACATGTCAGGAACCGTTTGGTGTCACCGGGCGAAAAGTAAGACCTGACATAAACGGATGTAAGACGACGTCTTTGTTTCCTCCGTCTGTTTAGACTGTGGGCTGAACGTTCACAAGCAGTGCTCCAAAGTGGTTCCCAACGACTGCCAGCCGGACCTTCGACACGTCAAGAAAGTCTACAGCTGCGACCTGACCACGCTGGTCAAAGCCCACAATGCCAAGAGGCCGATGGTGGTCGACATGTGCATACAGGAAATCGAAGCCAGAGGTGAGACGAATGGGATAGGAGTGGGTTGGAAATTATGTAACGTAGAGAGAAAAACACCCACAGAGCTGCTGCGTGCGTCAGCCAGCCTCTCGCTGATTATAGAATCAAGAGAAGATATCTAGTGCCAGCCGGTCTGTTTTGAGCTGTTCTTTTTCTCACTAATGACATCAGCTCTGACTGATGAGAAAACTTTATGTATTTAAACACAAATTCAACAGTTTCCCTTTTCTAGTTCCTTCCAATCAGTTCTTTATGTTCCTCTGTAATTTATCTTCATCCTTTACTTTCTTTGTTCCATTTTATTACCTTAGATTTTAATTTAAAGGTATTTTGGAGGATTTTTTCGCAAATTTTTGAGAAGATCAGCCCTCTCCGCTTAAAAAAAAACTGCACATGCACAACCCTGTACCCGGTTTCAAGAGGGAATGCCTATTAAATGCGTGCGAGAGCATGCACAAGCCCATTTCTCTTTGTGCATGCTCTGTCTAAAAGTTGTTGATCTTATAGCTCATACAAGCTTACGGTGTCGTCCGCCCTAAACCCTAAATCCCTCAATCAGTATATAAAGCGGGGACTATATAGTGGACTTTATAATGAACATAGTTAAGTTAAGGTTCAGGAAGATGATCACTATTTTTTACTCCCCGTTGGTCAGGTAAATCCTCCGCCACTGCGCCTGTGCCATCTTCAGTTGCCATTGTCAGGTAGCGACAGCCTATGGCGACAGCGGGCTACTTTGACAGCAAATCCCATAATGCTTTGCGAGGAGAGCTCTCTGCGCAAAGCATTCTGGGATATATCGGCCTCTTGTGAGGCCTTTCTTCTCATACAATTCGTAGACACCTTTTCTATTATGACCCTCTGCCATTTTCAGTGACTGGCTGAAACCGTAGCTCACTACAGATATACGTGTGAAAGTGCTAAATGGGGACGAGGACGGCCTTACGTAAACATATCACGATATCATGATTGACAATTAGGAGGACCACTTATTTAGATGACCCACATAAAAGATCATCCTCTATACCTTTAATACTTAGAAAAAAGAACATCCTTCACTATACCTTTAACTTTATAAAATGTAATTACGTTAATATAATTGTCCAGGTCTTCAGTCTGAGGGTCTGTACAGAATATCCGGCTTCAGTGAGCTGATCGAGGATGTGAAGCTAGCCTTCGACAGAGGTGAGTGTGGCCCCCTGTGGTTCCCGGACTACAGTCTTCTATCGTTAGCTTAATGAAACTGAACGATCTCCCATCCACAGATGGGGAAAAGGCGGACATTTCGTCGAACGCTTACGAGGACATCAACATCATCACCGGTGCCCTCAAGCTGTACTTCAGAGAGCTGCCTATTCCCCTCATCACGTACGACGCCTACCCACGCTTCATAGAGACAGCAAGTGGGTCTTTTCCCTCTTTGAACTACGGTTATGGCTAAGGGTCCGCCGTTTTCTTTCATTCTGTATTCAATGGTTTTGGTTTGTGTGTGTCGTCATAGAGATTACAGACCCAGAAAAAAGACTGGAATCCCTCCATGAGGCCCTGAAGCTGCTGCCGCCAGCCCACATTGAGACGCTGAGATACCTCATGGCTCACCTCAAGAGGTCCGAACCATCATCTGTTGGCCAATGGATTTGGCATAAGATTAATGTACAAATAATCTGGACATTCAATGTCTAGAAAGATGATTTCTAAAAGCTTCAGATTGAGCCAGATTAAGAGCCTTGTTTGGCTTTCCATCCAAACACGTTGGTGGTGCGATGGTTTGGTCCTGCTTTATTGGCTTTAGCAGTAAATACACCGGATGCATAACACAATGTAAGCGCAGCTTTCCGCTTTAATCAGTAAAATGATTTACACCGGATGCGTAATATGCTCGTTCAACGGCATTATTTGCACGTAGATACGCAACGCCATTGCTAATTTAGGATGAATTTCAAATTTCAGATGTCTATATACTTCAGTTTGAGCTAGGAAGAAACGGGAACAGTTTCGTAGTTCACTTCAGGCCAAAGTGGGTCTGCTATTTGGTGCTTTTTCTGCAAGATAATACCCAACGCCTACAGTTATTACGGCCCAACCAGCAGATGCTGGTAGTTTTGACATGCTAACAAAATACATGTTTGATTTCTCATCAGATTGGTGAAGATGCAGTTTTTTAGGTGATCGTAAGTTACTTTATAACTTTCACAGATAGTACAGTCACGAATGCTCATCTTTGCTCAGAGCTCCGTTGCTAAACCCGTTGCTGTGGAGCATTGTCTTCAGCTTTTGGCGTAAATATCAGTTTTCAAAATTGCGCTTTTCTGACCTTACACGCTTTTATGCACCGGGTGTATTTACTGTTTTAGAAAGACGTATTGGAATTAAGGGAAGCATGACTTCTCTGAATAACCGGAAGAGCGAAAGTCCAATAGGCCTACAGTTGAAAAAGATAAATTAAAGTTAAAGTTGCACAGTATACGTTTAGATGCTAGGGTTGCTAGAGCTATAAGTTCCAGCTGTAGCGCCTCCTGAAGGCCTCTGGCATTACTGCATTTTTCCTATATACCCGCAGATTTAACCCTTTAAAGCCCGATCCAAGAATAAAAAAAAACAGAATTTTTTTTTTTGGTTTGAAGTCCTTATTTGGCCTTTTAACAAAATATGTAAAAAGAAAAAACAGAAATACATTTTTGATATTAATAATTTATTACTATGCGATAAGTCAAGATTATTTTTTGTGTAGCCTTCTGCCCTCTGTTATCAGGTATATCTGATTGTGTACAATAGGATTTTGAGCAAAGTTTTTACCATTAAATAATGCAAAAGGTGTCAGATGCAAAACATTTCAGAAACCGTATGTATCAAATATGATACATTTGGCATTATAGGGTTAAAAGTTGCCTTTAAAGATGACACCACATTCAGCCCTCGAGTTTAAAACCTACATCAGAGAACTGAAAATATGTCTGATCAGGTGGTGTCTTCTGTTTCGTTGCTCGATGATGTGTAGCTTAGATACTAGCTAGCATTAAGTTCCTAAAAAAAACTTTTGTACAAAAGGAAAAATACTTATCTTAGCAGTCTAATATCAATGCAAATGAAGAAGGAGAACAGGTCTTTCATCCTGAATGCTCCTCCTCAGGCAGCTTTTTCTCTTTTTGCGTCCTCTAGTCAAACTCTCGACTAGAGGAGGAGAAATGTGGAAACCTGTAAGGTTAGAGTTAGGTTATACTTTCTAGCTGTTAAATGTTGGCTCCTGTTTCTCCATCCAGGGTCACCGATTACGAGAAAGAAAACCTCATGCCCAGCGAAAACCTGGGGATAGTCTTCGGCCCGACGCTGATGAGGGCACCCGAACTGGACGCCATGACAGCACTCAATGACATCCGATACCAGAGGCTGGTGGTGGAAACACTCATTACCAATGAAGACGTTCTGTTCTGAGAGAAACGGACCAAAACCAGCCCCCCAGTCGGAGGAGGCTCCGGAAACAGCCGACAAGATGAAGGAGACTTGAGATTTAGCGATGAAGAAAAGAAGCGAAGGAGGGGTTTTATTTAGAAAGAAAATTAGAGGCTTTGGATGAAGTCCAGGATGGAATGTTGGGTGTTTTTCCGTATTTTTATGTAATCTTTTACAATCAGCAAACTTGAAGATGATAAGCATGTGACAGCTGAAACTCTGAGCCTTGTTGGGTAAGAATGAAAAACCGCGCGGCGGGGAAACACTGGGACTTATTCTTTAGTTGTTTTTGTTTTGAAACGGATGCCTTGAAAGTGTTAGCTCAATTTTCTTTAGTTTTTCTGATAATTTCTCTTGCAAACAGACCAACCAAGATAGGCTTCACAGAGGGGACTTCCAAATTAAACTGTGCCACAAGATCATTCCTGTACGATTGGGCCATTTTTGGACGGTTAGTAAGAAATCAGGAAATTGTTAATTTTTTTCTCTGTAGTGGTGATGCCTGTTGGATTCAATCTTATGTTGATGGAAAGTCTGTTTATTTGCCCTTTAAATTGTGCCTCATTTTAATTAGGTGAGAAATTATCCAAGTTTAATTCGCTGATGTCAAACAGGCTCATTCTAGGTCTGGTTCTCCAGGTGATTACAATCCTGATGTGTTAACATGTGCACCACTACTGTTCTTTTTATTCGTGTCTTGCTTTTTTTTTTTTCAAACCTCAATCTTCAGATCCAGGAAACAAACAAGAAAGAATTTGCAAATGTGATTTTAATATAATAAGGCACTATTCAGTGGAAAAATAACAGATTTAGTTCCAAGACGAGTAAAAAGAAAGAAATAACCAACTGTCTCTGTAATGGAGTATTAGACTATTGTGGATAAAAGAAAAAAAAAAAAAGTACATTTCTGACACACACAAAAAAAAACTTTTAAAAAGAATATAAAATATTATCACAAAGTAATACATTTCCATGAAAAAGGCAGAATTTTCCTGATATTGCATAGTGAGAAATTTGCTAAATTTTCAGAAATATGTGATTTAAAATCTTAGAAAACAGTTTTTCATTATTTTTGTTGCAAATTTCCGAATTTTCAGTTATTTAAGTGTTGAATGTTTTTATTTTTTTAGGATATTTATACTTTTGATGTAAAATACATAAAAAAAAAATAGGTATTCCTTTTTTGGGAAAAATGTACAACTTTTAAAAATTGCTAATTAAACTTCAAATTGTTAATTTTTACTGGAGGAAAATTTGAATCCTTTTTTTTCTTTCATCTACAATGGCACCATTAAAAATTCCCTTTACTTTTTTTTCTTTCGAAACTGCAGCATATATATATTTTTTTTGTATTCTTACCAATAAGACAAGGAGACGGTCACGTCTGTGTTCTGTCTGTACTATGAAGGCAGTATGTTTATTTTCGTCTTCTCTAGGGAAGAAGCAGAAGTAGACAGCAAGATGAATGAGCACCATCCGTTATTTCAACCTTTTCTGTTTTAATTTGACATTTTCACCGTAAGCTGAACTTTAACTACAAGGCAGCCTTTTAAAGAAACCTTTGAGCCTCCTGTTACTGTCATCCCACCATTCCTGGGCCACATGTTCATGGGTTCTTTTTTTTTTTTGCACCAGAAAGAAAAACAAAACAAAAAACTTTAATCAAGTCATTTGACTTAAAGTTTTTTTTATTATTATTTTTTTAATGATAAATTAGCCTGAGCTTCTCACCCCGACTGAAATTTAGCTTGTTAGTTTGATCAAGGGATCAAACATATCCAGCAGTGACGAAGGTTTGATCCAGCTAGTTCTGTCCTACCGGTCCAGCACGGTTCATAATGTTTGTAATAAGAATGAGTTTTCGCATAAAACTAACATGCCACTTGAAGGCTTTTATTATTTTTTTCTATTTTCCCTTTTTACTTTTTTTTTTTTATTGTTTTTACCCCCACTTTTGTCGGGGGAGGGGCTGTTAATTGAATTGATAACAACTTAAAGAACTAAAGAGCAAAGCAGCCTAGTTGGATGTAGTTGGTGGGAAATATCACAATGTTTTATGTTAATTATTAATTATTTCCCCTTACATCGTCAAACCTAAATACTATGATCTGATTATCCCTCTGAGACCTATGGAACCTGCTTTTTTTAGCTTATAAGATGTCTTTTTTTTTATTGTCATTGCTGTAAAGTATTTTCTATATGGTTTATGCATGTTGTAATTAAATTATTAAATAAAGCTTTCATGTCAGGATCTGAATGTGATGTATTTTTAATAAAGGAAGTCGGCTTTTTAGAGTGCTGCCTTTAAGGGTATTGATTAAAAGTTGGTGGAAAACCTCGTGTTTGATTAATGTGTTAATAACGCATCTATACAATCATTGTCTCATTGTTAAGTCAGTTTAGGACTTGTTCTATACAGAAGAAAAACATTTAAAAAAATGTTATGTTAAAATATAATATAATAAAAAAATTTGATGTCTTTTTTGTTCAATTTATCTAAATTAAAATGTGTTTTTATTATTATGTTTTTTAATAGGCCGAGGGTGTCACCTTGCACGCGCTTTGATACCAGCTAAGGTGATTCGGTTCGCTAAATTAAGGCGCGTGCCGGCAGCCATGTTTTTTTTCTTCGTCGTCAACCCGGGTTGGATTTTAATATATAGATAGCTTCTTCTTGTCACGTTTTAAAGTTATTGTTTGACAATTAAGGATGGAATTTCGTTCTTTTTTTTTTTTTTAACGTTTTTAAAGAAAGGGAACCTAAGAAGAGGAACGAGAAGGCTGCCATCTGAACTAAGGTGTTTTACTCCCCTTAGCAACTCTTGAAGTTAGCTAATAGTTATTCTCTATGCGAAAAAGGATAACCAAAGATGTTGACCGACTTTTTTCGAGTGGAATCACTTTTAAATAATGCTACAAGTTAAAGATGGACCTGAAGTCACACTTGTATTATTTGGCTAAAAATTGGGACAGAGTCGCCCTTCATTGGTGGACGGAGTTTTGAGGCCCAGCGGCTGGAGGAAAGGTCAGTTACATTTACTTTGATATAATTTGTGCAGGTGAAACAAAGTATTAAGATACCTTTAAAATGGTTTATAATATTATTCGTGTGTTTAACTGTCATTGCGAAGGCAAAGAATAAGCAAAACGGAGAAGCCGTGGTTTTAGATTTTAGTGTTCCCTACTGCCACCAAGTGGACAAATTAAATTAAAGAAAGTAAGATTCAGATGAAGGAGTTGCTCATATTTCCTCGTAGGGCACGCTTTTTTGTCTTTATCTTTTTCTTTCGTGTAGCAACCAGCGTAAAGGCTGAAATGTGCTTTTTGTCTATCAACTCATAGAATTCCAGTATTTGAATCTAGTGTTTGAGGCTGACGTCAAGGATGTTTTTATCGCTACAAGAAAATTGATATTTAGCGGAGGCGTCGTGATATGATGACCTGTTTTTTCTTTCTTCTCAGGCCTCGTTGGCGCAGTAGGCAGCGCGTCAGTCTCATAATCTGAAGGTCGTGAGTTCGAGCCTCACACGGGGCAGAATTTTTTTTATTAGATATGATTTTTTTTCCCGATTATTGTTCCGTTTCAAAAACGATTTCAAAGATTGGCCTTTATGCGTGAGCTATTATTACATATGAACAGGATTCAAGCAGTGTCGATGATTATTAAACCCCGTTGACAGTTTTTGGTGTAGTTGTCTGCATTTTTAAACGGAAATACGTAATTGTAGTGCACAGCCCGGCTAGCTCAGTCGGTAGAGCATGAGACTCTTAATCTCAGGGTCGTGGGTTCGAGCCCCACGTTGGGCGCATAGTATTTTTTATTTATATACATTGATATAATGCATTTATGTATCCCTGAATAACACAACAATGTATTGCTTGCTTTTTTATTTATGTTTGGTTAAATCTATATTTCTGTAGCTAATAGGGCTCATATAAATAAATGTCAAATACTTAAAATTGACCCCAACTATGCAATAACACATAATGCAATATGAAAGTATATATATATATATATATATATATATTAGGGATGGGACGATTTATGAAAACCGTTGTCTCGGTTCGGTTCGCGTGTGTTTCGTTCGGTTCATGCACTGCTCCTTTTTCTCATTGAGGAAGCGATTACACT